AAGCGCACCTTCCATCGGAAATTAGGGACTTCGCCGGATGTATGCCGGAAGTGTGCCGAGCTTAGACCGCTCACGCCCGATGTGTGCCGGCTTTTTGCCGCGTGTACCCCGCGGCTGCCGCATGTACCAAGGCTGCTGCCGGTACGGGTAAGCCGACTGCCGACGCTCATCACGCGGCAGGGCGCCGGCGACAACTATCGCCGGTCCGGCGGGACCTGGTGCCGGGCGGCTTTCCGGCTGAATAATCAGAAAAGCTTGGTGCCGGCAGGACAAACCGGGGGTTGTGCCGCCACACTGCCGGCCAGTATTGCAGGTGCCGCGGCCGGTCTCGGAGACCGCCGGAGCATATGGGCAGGTGCTGCCGGCCGGCTTGGTCGGCCAGTTACTACCGGTACTATGCGGTGCCGGGGTTTGCCGGCGGTACGCCGGATGGGGCCGCGTGTAAGCCGTAGGCGGCCGCGGGTACGCCGGCAAGTGCCGTGTACGCCGGCTAATGCCGTGCCGGCAACTGTGATGCCGCTAGCCGCGCGAATGATCAAATATGCAACACGAATCGGTCATCATCGGAAGAAGCGCGCACACAGCTTTCAAAGCCTCTAGTTCCTGCATAATCCAGCTGAAATGTGGCCCTCATGCTTCTAGTATGCAATTGCAGCTAAATAGCGGAAGCAAACAACATTGAATGAAGCTGAATAATACTGAATGCCCTGATAATCAAGAACAAATCGTGAATGAGTTGTCATCTTATCAGAGTGTGCAGTTCTGATATGCAGGAATTATAGCCGTGAGGACTTTGTTACAAAACAAGGTTGTTCTCTGTGAACTGTTACGCTATCAAGTTGATCTTTTATGTACATTCTCCACAGGAGCTGATTACTACTATTCTATAGTTCCCCTACTCTTATTTACACTACGTACTTGCCCGGCCCCTTCTTAACCGGGAACCTCCACTCCCCCTGCCTCAGCTTGAGCATAAGGGCCCAGTCCGACTCCATCAGAGTCACCCTCTTGGCGTGAATGGCATAGAGGTTCGCCTCCTCAAACATCTTGACGAGGTAGGCCTCTGCCGCCTCCTGCAGCGCGTCGTACGCCTCTTCCGCAAAGCTGAACAAACAAGAGTCGGTTGACAAAGTGCAAAGTCGCGAGTTCAAGCTACGACGCACAAACTCCAACGGACAACAGCCTCGCTCGTCTTTCGGATCCTATGCGCTCGCAAACTCAAACTGAAGACCTTGTTCCTATCCGGGGCACAAGAATAGAATAGCCCATCAACTTCATAAGAAAGTTGAAACCGCCCATCAACAAAATCAAGCTTATGAACACAGCCCATCAACAATTTTATCTTTGACGAACCAATCAGTAGAAACATTATGACGACAGCCCATCAACTAAAATTGACAGGCTGGAGTTATAATTCGAAGCTTCGCGGATGTGGCACAGACCTCTTTGTTGAAAATAACAACCTGATTCATTTGTAGGAATGTTCGCGCCATGATTAAAACCTGAGACACAACAAACCCCAAAACCTCTGTGGCTAATTCATCGACCACGGCGCAATGTAAGAATGCTCAACAACAATGCAGTCCTTTAGAAGGAAAAGGTTGCATGCAACACTTACTGCGTGACCACTCCTTTCTTCGGTTGCACCTTCTCCGAGTCCATGACCTCCTTGCACAACCTGCAGAACGCCGCCTTCTTCAGCAGCAGCTCGGATGTCTTCTGGTACTTTCTGATCTCGCGCAGCGCCACCGTCCCAGCCCTGTACTTGTGCGGCTTGATGACCGGGGGCGCCGTCATCCTAGGGCACTTCTTTGCGGTGGCCTTCCGCTCCCGAGCCACCCCTGTGCTAGAGCTTGGCAGCTGCTTCGTTCGCGCCATGCTTACTTGCGTCGGCGAAGGGTGCAAGTTGGCAAAAGGCTTTGCTAAAGCAAGGGCAAACGGGCGCCTTCGAAGAAACGACCTTTCAAAGTTATGGGGACATGCGGTTCGTCGGCTTCCGATATGTCCACGGACCTCGGGCAGCCTGCGCTTCAAGACTCGAAAACAGCCTACTGCAGTCATGTGTTAGTGTCAACTCGTTCGACGAAGCAGAGTCATGGAGC